ACCACATTGTCAGCGTGATGACGTCCTTATGACAGCGGCTCCAATCTAAACCCTCCATGGTTCCTGCATTCAGAGAGTGGCGGCAGTCGTCCCTGGAGCTTTATTTCTGATGAGCCTTCTTGTTTTTGGCACCATGTGAGTTGCCCAACTTGTGACTCCATTAAACTTGTCATACAGTCTACACTTAGAGGTGCTTCTGTTTATTTTTGTTTCCACACTGCTCAGTTTAATGGGCTGAAAGTGCACCAGATCACACAAAAAGTAATGTACGTACTACTTTTGAAAAACGCAATGTACCACATCACATGGTACTGCGGTAACATACAATCTGGTTCCCACAAACGCACTGCATTTTCGATTTGTGTTTGGGGTGTTGTTAACAATGTATTGGCACCACTGCAGATCCCATAGGCAGTGTGTTTTGAGCATGGTACAGGAAACGCACACAGAACGCACCTTTCCCACACCGTGTTCTGGTGTGAACCCAGCCCTAAGAACAGACACCATAAAGTTTCCACTAATACCTTTTATATGTCAAAAGTTATTTTGATGGCCCTTCCTGGTTTAGTTTCTCTTTGTTTCTGCGCCCCATTTTCTGTGACTTAAAGTATTTTTAGTTTTGGATAGAATGGAGAGGGATTAGAACGCTTTTCAGTTTTCATTGCTGTCTGTGCCCCCTATGGGACAGGAAGGTAAATCTCCGCTATGGGACACAGATTGCAAAAATAAAGCTGACAGGTGTTACATCCATCCCTTGCTCTATCCAAAAAAAAAAAAAAAAAGTTTTGCCTATAGTTCTACTTTAAAGTGATTGTAAACCTTCAGATTTTATTTTTTTTAAAATAACAAACATGTCATACTTACCTGCTCTGTGTATTTGTTTGACACAGAGCATCCCCAATCAGCGGTATATTTTGGTTTTGTGCTGCCCTAGGAAAGACTAAAATCGGGCACCCCCACCGCATCTAAATTTGTCCCACCCTTTCATCTGCAAACTCCACCCCTTCCTCTTTAGGCTCCACCTCTTCCTATTAGAGCTCCATCCACTGACACCGATGATGAGGTAGGATTCCTCCCACTGACAAATGATGGGGCACTATTCCTCCCACTGACACCAATGATGGGGCAGTATTCCTTCCACTGACACCTGTGATGGGGCACTATTCCTCCCACTGACACCAATGATGGGGCACTATTCCTCCCCCTGACACCAATGATGGGGCACTATTCCTCCCCCTGACACCAATGATGGGGCACTATTCCTCCCCTGACACCAATGATGGGGCACTATTCCTCCCCCTGACACCAATGATGGGGCACTATTCCTCCCCCTGACACCAATGATGGGGCACTATTCATCCCCCTGACACCAATGATGGGGCACTATTCATCCCACTGACACCAATGATGGGGCACTATTCCTCACACTGACACCAATGATGGGGCACTATTCCTCCCACTGATACCAATGATGGGGCACTATTCCTCCCACTGACACCAAATGATGGGGCACTATTCCTCCCACTGACACCAATGATGGGACACTATTCCTCCCCCTGACACCAATGATGGGGCACTATTCCTCCCACTGACACCAATGATGGGGCACTATTCCTCCCACTGATACCAATGATGGGGCACTATTCCTCCCACTGATACCAATGATGGGGTACTATTCCTCCCACTGACACCAATGATGGGGCACTATTCCTCCCACTGATACCAATGATGGGGCACTATTCCTCCCCCTGACACCAATGATGGGGCACTATTCATCCCCCTGACACCAATGATGGGGCACTATTCCTCCCACTGATACCAATGATGGGGCACTATTCCTCCCACTGACACCAATGATGGGGCACTATTCCTCCCACTGATACCAATGATGGGGCACTATTCCTCCCACTGATACCAATGATGGGGCACTATTCCTCCCACTGACATCAGTGATGGTGCCCCATCATAAGTGTCAGTGTGTGATTAATAGTGACAGTGGCACAGTGCTGGATCAAGATCAGGCTCAGGTAAGTAAAAGGGGGAGCAGCATACTGAAGGTTTTTTATCTACATGCAGAGAATGCATTAAGGTACAAAATAACCTTTGAGCTGCTATCTCTCTGTCCAATGAGCGTGACTGGAGGCAGTCTTATTGGGCAGTGGTATGGCAGTTGGCAGGGCTTTGCCATTAAGTCAGGATACGGTCAGGCCACAGTATTCAAATTCAATCAGCAATGAATGAAAAAAAATGGGTTCAAGATATTGCTTACAGAAGATCAATACGTTTATTGAACAAGAATGATCAGAAGGCACTTTAAGGTGTTCCTTGAGACCTTTTTTTGTGGTTCAATAAATCTATGGATTTTCTGCAAGCAACTTTGGAGATCCATTTTATGATTCAGCTACATATTTAGTTTGAACAGGCAAGACCCAGAGCCACAGTGCAGGGTGGATGTTGCAGCTGGTCTCGCTAATGGCAGCAGGAATATAAAGCAGAATTAAACCCAAAACAAAAAATGTAATATACTGTATTGCAGCTTACCATTCATTAGATGTGGTGGCTGCATTAGTTTTCTTTTTTCCTCTCTCTGTTTTCACCTATTGATTTGACCAGTAACACCTCCTGTAAAGAGTGCCCCACTCTGGATAAAGGAGTACAAGGGTACAGCAGACAGTAACATTGTCATTCTGGGGGGATGAGAGTGTTAGATGTACTAGGAGATATAGATACACCAACAAATTGAAGCCAAACTCCAGCTAATATGTTTTAACCAGTTACAGCAAAGTTTTTTTTTTTTCCTGTAGGATAAAGGTTTTACATAAATAAAACTGATCATTGTAAGCACCGCTGATAGTGTTAAAGGGTTTGTCTCATCCCTGTAAACTGATACATGTAGAAGAGAGCTTGTTCTTTCAAAACATAACAGACTTTCTGGCCAGATGACCAGGTGAAAATAGAAAAAAAAAAAAAAAAACTAATGCAGCCATCACATCAAAGCATTGGTAATAAATGTTTGCTTTTGGGTTTAATACTGTTTTATTCATATGAAACTAAATGAGAATGGGCCACATAGGCAGCTTTCCTGGCTAATAAATGTAACGGACTGCCATTTTGTCATCTGATGTTGGTTAAAATGTTATTTTTAAAGTGCAAAACTGCCCAAGGATCACTTAAATGGGGCTATAGATAAGAAAGAATGATACATTGTCATTTGACCAGGTGGTGTCATAAATGTTATATCATAATAATTTGACTATTTAAAGATTTTAAGGGATAAGAGTGATGGTAGATTGCTTTTTAGAGGGTGTTTCACAGGTAGCTGGGATTTCATATGTAACTCCCTCACCATCATTTCTGACCCTGAAAAGCCTCCTTGCAACTGCATGTATTGCACGCAGGTGCAGGGCGGTTGTGGCGCGACCCTATTTACTTGAGTTCACCCAGCAGGGGTATCATTTTTGCTGTGACATGTGTAGAGCCCCCTGCAGCTGACCAGTTAGGTTAAGAGGAGTGTTTTGGGGTCTGTAAAAGCGTGGCTCAACCCATTTTTATTTCTCCCTGGCTACATGTATGAACGAGACCTAAATAGGAGATGATAATAAAGTTCATGAAGGAAGCTGATGCCCGGTTGATGCTTGTTCTTAAAACGTTTAAAAGGGAAGTCAGTATAAAGTCTTGGCTCCTAATTTGCATGCTTGTTCCACGTCAGAGCCTCAAAAAAAAAAAAACTGAAGCCATTGGACCAGTATGACAGCCAGGAAACAGAAGGCCAACATTGGCAGTCTCCATTCTCCACACTGCTTTAACATTCTTTTGTGTGATTCATTGAGTGCTTGATGACGGCATCAAAAAGTGACCACCACCTCTCTTTATATGATCAATGATAGACAGAAAAAGGAAATAACTGATTATGATTTTCAACTGCACATTTAACCCCAGAATGAATAGAAAAAAAAATCCTAGATTCTTCCTCTATAGTAACTATGTAGCACAAGCTATAACTTCCAGCCAGTCTTAGTTTGTTATTCTTTAGAAAGCAGCCACAGTCTGAGTATACAAGCCTGTCCTGCGCCAGCATGCTATAGAGAAGGGCCCTTGCTCTTTGTGGATCTATCTGCATTTGTCTGACATGTCCCCTGCTAGTTCAGACATAAAACTCAACACTCCCTGCTGATTAGAAATCCCTGGCTGTGACTTTGCATAGGGCCATGACTTGACCTCTGCAGAGAATCCACTGCTTCCACACAGGTACCAGGAGTCCTTCTCTACAGAATGCTGGCAAGGGACAGCCCTTTCTACTTAGACTGTGGCTGTTTTCTAAAGAAAAACAAATGAAGTGTTGGAACATCTTTTCTTAATGTACCTCAAATGTATTTAGTTGGTTAAAACCAAAAGCTTAATTAAATTAGCTAATGTTTTGGCCATTAAATGCTAGGTGACCATCCTAGACCTTGTGGTTTCGCTAGATAATTATGCATTCTAAAGCTGAACCCTGGGCACAAAGCCTTGAGAGCCACACAGAGCCCCAACAATCTGCTTTGTGTACACCAAACCTAGATATTGCCTTATAAAAGTAGTGGTGACATCATCACTGTGCTGTACCTTTACTGTGCAAAGTGTAGAGTTGTGGGAGGGATCCAGCAGGCTCCACCCACTACAGGAGGGGTGGAGACAAGACCTGCCACCCTGCACAAGGAGAGACAGCAGCAGTGACCAGTCTGTATTATAGGAAGCTCCTGCACAGGGGTAAGTGTCACAATGGATTAATGCACAGATCTAGGAGAAATACAAAACGCACACCAAGATTCAAGTAAGAACACACGTGACTTTTGTATTTAGAATGTATTTGCTTATTCCCGAGTTCAGCTTCCATATACTAGGGGCTGTAAAGAACCCATCTGATCCACTCAGCAGATTATCCCTTTCCCCATAGTACCCCTTACATGGTCTTCATGAACTTAAATGACTGCCACATAACTGTATTTTTTTGCTTTTGTCAGGGGACATCAAGCATTTGTTGGTCTGGATCAAAGATAACTTGCTGAAGGAACGTCCTGAGCTGTTTATTCAAGGAGATACAGTGTAAGTATTGTGTCTTCTTATACAGTGAGCTTTCTGGGTGTGAGGACGCCTTTCAATGAGTGTAAGGCCGTACCAACACTAGTGCCCTGGTATCTGATACGAGGCAAAGCCGTCACTGCATTAACAAAATGTTCTGTTTATTAGCCGAGTTTTACTATCAGCAACATAAGACTCTAATTCTTTCTGAACATAACACAGAACACAGGAAGTGCTGGCATTACAAATGTCAATAGGAGCTTGTATAGGATCATGATAATCTGATGTTTAGTATCTCCAGTGATGAGAGTCCAGACCAAGAAATGTCATCTCTTCAGTTTGAAAATGTTATAGTTGTGTTTCTGTTCTTGCAGGAGGCCGGGGATTCTGGTCCTGGTTAATGATGCAGACTGGGAACTGATGGTAAGCACATAATTAATACACAAGTCTCCTATTCTCATGCACAGCTAACTTCTTGATGAACAAAAATTACAGTAAGCCTGTTCAATAAGAAAGTTCAAAGAACAAATGCAGCACCTATAGTGACCAAAACTACATCTTGTTCTGTTTACTTTTCTAAAGTAAAACTGGCCTAACACTAGAATGTTCAACTAGTCTTTCAAAAGTTCTGCAAAAGTTTCTGTCACTGCAGTCAAAAAAGAATGTCAGCTTGACCCCACTATCAGTTCCAGAATTGAGTAAAAGTTCCTGAAAATACATTTTTTAACTACATTTTTGTAATGTACGTTCAGCTTATAGCTAGCTTTGGATATCTAGATTTCTCTCAATTACCCAGCAGATTGAATGAGAGAAAACCAATAGATTCCTCTATCCATGCTAAACTGTGGATGGAAGAATCTGTATCACCAGCTATTGTATTCAAGCATCCCCAACACCTCCAGCTGATTGAATACCTGAACAGTCACTACATCTGACAGAATACAGTCACTGTTCAGCGGACAATTTTCTTTGTCAATCTCACTTTCAGGCTGTCTCTCGGTCTCTCTTCTTCAGGTTCTCCTTTTCCATCTCTCTCTCTTTCAATCTCTCACTCTTTCTTTTCGTCTCTCAATCTCTCTTTCATTTTTGAATTCTCTCTCTTTCCATCTCTCTCTGTCTTTTTATATCTCTCTCTCTTTCAATCCCTCTCTGTCTTTTGATATCACTCTCTTTTTCAATCCCTCTGTCTTTTGATATCTCTCTCTCTTTCATTCTCTGTCTTTTGATATCTCTATCTCTTTTTCAATCCTTCTTTTCCCTCTCTAGGTCTCTTTCAAAGTCTTCCTCCCTTTCGCTCCCTCTCTCTCACTTTCGCTCCCTCTCTCTCACTTTTGCTCCTTCTCTCTCGCTTTCGCTCCCTCTCTCTCACTTTCGCTCCCTCTCTCTCACTTTCGCTCCTTCTCTCTCACTTTCGCTCCTTCTCTCTCACTTTCGCTCCTTCTCTCTCACTTTCGCTCCTTCTCTCTCACTTTCGCTCCTTCTCTCTCACTTTCGCTCCTTCTCTCTCACTTTCGCTCCTTCTCTCTCACTTTCGATCCCTCTCTCTCACTTTCGATCCCCCTCTCTCTCACTTTCGATCCCTCTCTCTCACTTTCGATCCCTCTCTCTCACTTTCGATTTCTCCCTTTCACTTTCGATCTATCCCTTTCAGTTTCTCTCCATTCATCTTTCTCTCTCGATCTCACTTGGAAAAATATAGTTCAGCCATACACTCTTTACTGTTAGGCCCCACACGGGGCGGACTCTGTCCTGATCAGCAGAGGATCCTCTGCTGCCTGGAGCGCAGCGGGCAGATAACACATCCGTGTCCACTCAGTTTATGCAGAGGGGGCACAGTCAGAGCTGCTCTGCTTATGGCGGCTGGGTGTAAACTGACTCACTGCCTATTTCCACGCAGCTACCCTCCAATCCGTTCTGCGTAAAAGAAGAGGGTGGATCCCCTTCCATTTTTTGAGCACAATGGATTGAACCCAGAGGTAAGTGTAAACGAACCTAAGTCCATTTATACTGGCCAGTCCATAGGCAAGATTAGACCATATGATCAGGTCCCTCTCCAAAAAGTTAAGGTGAACCTGATTGGACCCGCCGCGTGAAAGGGGCCTTAAAAGTGACCAACTGTTGTATTGATGGAAGACTTTCAAGGTGAATGCATTAGCCCTGAGATAATATGGTCACTATCACCTGACACTGGTCACCTTATGGAAAAACATTTGTTTAAATACTAAAAAAAATCTTTAAAAACTGTAAAAAAATATGGATGACATCCTCTTTAATATGCAAAATTGGAGAGAAGCACACGGCCCCATAGAAGCACATTATCCCTGGGTACTTTTAGCCTAATGCAGGTAAAAAGAGACATTTGTTATATAGAACCTATATTTACTTAAAAATAATTTCAGCAAAAAAAACCTATTTTCCCTTCTCCGTATTTGAGAACTAGGAGGCTTTTCCATATTCCTATGCAGCCTTGCAGGAGGCGGGCCAGTACAAGCTTCAGCACACGCTCCTTCCTATGGTTTACAGTGTATGTCAAGGGCAGAAAGGCCTCCCATTGACTTTACATTGTGAGCCACATAGGAAGACAACACAATGAGGCTTTCACTCCCCCTGCTCGTGAAAACAACCCACATTAACAAAATCATTGTTGTATAGGCCTGTAAAGCCTCTTTCATGCATTTTCTTCATTTGTGATGTTTTGCATAGTTTCTGCAAGACAAAAGGAATCTGTCCACATAGGACTATTGGAGCTGCTTGCTTTATTGGTGCAGGTTCTGGGGCTTGTTCTCCGTATCTCTGATCCGGGACAAGGATGTGTCAAGACACTCAGTATATGCACATGCATGTTCCAGTAAGTAAAGCTAGGGTATAGAGAAACGGGCCGGAGCATACATCTTCAAAAACAAATGGCAGCAACTATCATTTGAATTTGATCTTAAAGTAATACCTTTCTCTTCATAATGAAACAAACGTTATATTGTAGGAGCCTGCATGTATATTAAATTCTGAAATCCTAGGTATTCTGATATATGGATCTTGACTTTTGCAAAGTCTTGGATTGGCCCCCTCCTGCATATCATGGAATCAGAGAGAATTAGAAGGGGAAAGGCCAGTCTTTGACTTTCTCAGCAAAAGTTAAGATTTGCTTGTTGCAGAGCTGCTAGGTTTTGGGGGGACCTGGACTATGGTAAAGATAATAAAAGGTATGTGGTGGCATATGGGGATGCTTGTATTATTTTCAGGATGTCAGCTGCATTATAGGGAGAAAATGATGAATCTGAAGTTCAAGACTATATCGTGCTCTACCCTTCACCCTTTGTTGTTTCTGAAGGGCTAAGGCCTCGTGTACACTGCTGATCCTAAACTCATGTTCTTGGAGCTTTTCGTGTTTTTTGCCAAAGCCCCTGAACACAACTCAGCAAAAGCCTATGTGTCCATGCGTACATAGACTTTTGCTAGAGTTTAGGAGCAGCAGCATATAGTGGCAGTAAAATGCTCCTCTCTTAGACGTAGAAGAATTGCGTTCAGGAGAGGTGTGTTTTGGCAGAAAAAAAAGATTGCCGTGGCAAAAACGCACATTAACACTATGTGTGTTTAGTGAGTGTTAATTCATTTCAGTGGTTAGCATCAACTATTATTCAGGCCAGTGAAATTCTTTTGTCTCCCAAGCGCTTGACGTTTTGAGTGTCCAGTGTGCATGAACCGTTAAAGGTATGTTCCAATTTACAGTAAATGAAAAGTTTATTCCCTCTTTAGACAGTTTTTGTAGAAGCAGATGTTTGCTAGTTCTCATATACAAAGTTAAATGAGAGCCAAGCAGTCTGAGAGTCCAAAAACCTTTAATAACAGTATTGGTTTGCAAACAACAACACAGACCATCCAACGCATTTTGGGGGCTTAGAGACCTCCTTCTGCAGAAATGTAACATAAATGGTAATCAGAAGGACTTGCCGGTTTTGCTGATTGTTTGATTCTGGTTAAACCCCATGCAGCAACCAATTTACATGCGGTGATTTGTACCATTTTGAATTCTTTTGATTACTGATATTTAAGTCATTTAAAAGAGTGAGGTCTCTGAGCCCCTGAAATGCGTTGGATGTTCTGTGTTGTCATTTGTGAACTATATTATTGTTTTTGGACTCTTTGACTGTTTGTTTGGTGCGCTCATTGGACTGTAAATGTGAATCTTTGAAGCTGGGCCCCCTGTTTGAGGGACACCCCATTTTGATGGGAGCTTCCTCACCAGAGCCATTGTGCCATATTATATTCTAACCAATCTGATGGTTCAAATCCAGCGCCTTATCGATACTTGTTACATTCACTTATTCACAGACTGCTCTTTAGAGCAACACTGGAGAGAATCTGGAGCAGCATTTTCTCCAGGAAAGGTATTTCAGCTCTTCTGTTACTTTTTATTTATGACCCCAGCAAGACTTTTATGACAACATTAAGGTTTAGGTCCACTTTGATGTCCAAATTGAAATAGCTGCATAATAAGCAGTCAACCAATAGCTATTTGAAGTTCTGTTTGAACGCTTGTGATGTCTTTGCTGTTTTTCTTCATATACCACCCTCATATATAGGTCATTCTGTCTGCAGGGTGAGCTGGATTACAAACTGCAAGACCAAGACAACATTGTATTCATCTCCACATTACACGGAGGATAGTGAAGACCTTGTGATTTGGTTTAATCCAATCATGATGTTCCAAGTTGGGAGGGGATTTTCATGGTGTCTTCATCAGCTCCAGTGGCGGTTCCTTGTAAAGTGACTTCAATTCTGAAAAGGACATGTCTACATACCACACCGCCAGGGCAGCTTCTGTGTGAATAGGTCAGAGCCATCTGTTTGGTGATATCTGGGACATCTCATTTACTGGCGGCTCTATGTGATATGTCATTTATTACATCTAGCAATTCCTAATTACAATAATTTATCAGTTATAATTGGTGGGGTGTATGTGCAAAAAAGAAAAAATGCCATTGTGAACAGTTGTCATATCCTCATGTCACATTTTTGAACCTGCCTTGGACCAATTGCTTTTTTTTGTACTTCCTTTAAAATATTGCATTACTATGGCAAGTTTTCTCCCAAAATCAGATTGATAAATAATACTCCACCCTTTACCTACACATGTGGGGGCAGCCATTGTGGTCCTATATGAAGTGTCTGTGTTTCCTTCCCAGCAACCAATCTGCTTTTCCCTTTTCTACTGCTAGGGCAATAAGAGACCATCTTCCTCCTTTTTACGGGAATGAAAGTGACACAAAGTACAGTCAGTTGTGTCAGTCTTGAGGTCAAAATACAATAATGAGCAAGTGTTCATGAGGTCTCCCAGGGCTCATAAAAAGAGGAGCAGTCACCTATTTTAAGTAGGTATCAAACCTAACTGGATGCTGTTAGGTTTGCTAAAGCACTGTGTATCATAAACAATTGCCATGTAAAAAATAAAGTTTTCAAATTTTTTCATCTGTGGTTGCATCTTTTTTCTGCTGATATCTTGCATCCTCTTTGCAGCCACTTCCTTCAACAGGCTGCATGACAGACTTCCTGATGATGATAATGATAACGGAACATGCCTTCGCAATATGCATTGGCACAGGCACTTAAAGTCTCTACTGGAATCACTTGCAACAAAGGGACCATGTACAAGCATAATTTAGTCAGTGGGCAAATGATGAATCCTAACCCATCCTGCAAGGTTTTATTTGTTTCTTACCCAGTAAAGATAGTTATACTCACCTGCGTCCCCCGTTCATGTCCCTTGCTAGCATCTGTTCAGCATGCAGGTGACCACTATTCAGTGCCATAAATGCTCCCTTGACAGTCCCCCTGCACTGACATCGCTCCTCTTTTGGATCCTGGGAAGACCCTGCTGTGGGATAGCCAACAGGATACATCCACCCAATGAAAGACCCCACTGGGGGTAAACAGAAGAGGAAAGAAGGCTTGAGACTGCAGCGTCACATGACTGTGGCTTAAAGCGGTATTAAACCAAAAATGTAACCTATTGCAGTTTAGCAATCATTAGATGTGGTGGCTGTGTTAGTTTTCTTTTTTAGGCATTTCCCCTCTGTTTTCACCTGGAGATCTGACCAGTAACACACATCCTGTATTAGAGTTCCTCCACTCTGGATGTGCAACAGAGACACCTTTTGAACAGCAGCATTGTCATTCTGGGGGAAGGAGGAACGGGAGTGTTAAATGGACTAGAAGATTTAGATACATAAAAATTGAAGCCAAACACCATCTCACACTGCAGTTACACAAGCAGTTACAGCAAACCATTTTTTTTTCCGTTTGAGCACCCCTGCCAGTAATATATGGATTGTCTCAACGCTCTTAACTGATACATTTGCAGGAGAGCTTGAAAAACAACAACTAATGCAGCCATCACATCTAAGGCTTATTAAGCTGCAGTATAATAAAAGTTTGCTTTTGGGTTTGTTACTGTTTTTAAGTAAGAAAATAAGGCTTTTTTTCAACTGGTGGTCAGTTGGGGGGGGGGGGGGTGCAATTATCCTGGAGATTGGCTTTAACATTTTACAGCTTAGCCATCGTTCACATGGGGCGAATCAGTGCACACCAAATGAGGGCCTTGTTTACCTACAAGGGATCCATCCCCGTGCAGGCAGTCCCATTGTACAGACACAGCTACTACCCAATATGACATCTATGTGGGTGTGTGTGTCCAAACTATCCCTGTCTGCGTCCCAGGCCATGCACCCACACCGTGAAGCCACTGCATCCCAACTGACATCAGTGGGACCTCCGGCAACATGGCCCTTGTGTGAAATACACATTGCATGTAAATGAGGCCAAATATAAGATTCTAGCGATCAGGTTTACACTTTAACCTCCCTGGCAGTATTCCCGAGTGTAGCTCGGGGTAAAATTTCAGTACCACAAGCAGTATCCCCGAGCTACACTCGGGCTTACCATGCGGCGTTGCTCAGGGATTCCCTGCAGTGCTTACCTTGTCCTTCGCTCCCGCGATGCGTCCCCTGCAGCATCCCCGGCCATCTCCTCCAGCCGATGCCGGCATCCAGCTTCCGTGTTCCTGTCCCTGTGACGTCGGGACCTACGGGCGCTGGAACCGGTGGCAAATTGGAAAGTTTTAAAAAATTTAATTTTTTTTAAAACGATTATTACATAGCAAAACATTACTGTTTCAAAGCATTTCACATACATTTTGTCCCCACTGCTTTGTCCTGTGCCCTGCCTGCATTTTGACTGTTCTTTCTGCCTGGAAACTGGGAAAAGTCCATGGCGTCCAAAAAGCGTCCCTTTTTGTCAAAAGCGGTTTTAGAACAGCGATAGTAAATCAGAACTACTTGCAGAATTGAGTGATAATGATTTCTGAGGAAATTCGTCAACAGACACTGAAAACGATTTTGCGACTTTGCTCAGTGATGTGTGAACTTGGCGTTATATTTCAAATTTCAGTGTTTTTGGGTTGATTATATTATTGAATTAAATTTATTATTATATTATTATTTTTTATGATTATTTATTAAATTATAATTTATGATTTCATGTTTCAAGTTTTATCCTACCCGGAATGTTTACTAGACTCTTGTTCGGACAGATTTCAGTGAGTTATTCCTAAAAATGACAGGCCTACAATAAAAAAAATACATATTTCCATGCAAAATAATGGTACCGCTTTCAGCACCAAAAATCTGAAATAATCATACCGCCAGGGAGGTTAAAACAAGGAGACTGCCTGCTGTGGGCATCCTCACCATTTTTGCTCCAGTTTTTGTTCATTATACTCATTAGACCTTTGTGCACAAGTGAACAAAATGCTGGATTTGTAGGTGTGTAGCTTTTTTATTATTTTTGGAATTTGATCACATGTATTGTGTCATGTACACAGCTGTGTAAAGATCCATAATGCAGCAATGCATTCAGAGCCGTAAAAAATACAGACTTCACGAGTGCAATATTTTATAACTTTACATGTGTATACACAAGTATTGTGTGTGAATACATGTACATTGAAGAAGAATGCTTGCATGAGTATGTGTATGCACCTGTATGCCTGTATATGCAAAGGCTTCACAAAACACAACTTGCATTCTTCTTTTTTTTTTTTTTTTTTTTTTTTTTTTTTTCACTGAGGATCTTTCTGCCAGCCCAATCCTGTGTATACACATCAGTAAATGATTACATCTGGGAGGCCCTAAAGAGTATATCCATATGATGAGTAATGTCTTGGAAGACACTGCAACATGCATGAATAAATCAGATTCTTCCGGCCATGTTTACAGTGCAGAATGGGAAATTGAGGGGATACGATCAGCTGTCGTACGCAGCACGGTCCTCCTTCAGTCACTTTTTTTATGGTTCTCGATATGACTGTCACTCCTTATCAGTATTTTGTTATGGTTGAACTCAATGAACTTTTTTTTCGCCCCAGCTATGGAAGCATCAAATGTTTAAATATCACACCATTGTTTTAGCTCAGCGAAAATAAAGTAGTATTTGAAGCCATTACATTGGTGACATGTTTTTTTTTTTTTTTTCCTACATGCAAAAGGAGGTGGCTATAGACTGAAGAAATATGACTTGCCATCAGCGTTTTGTGACAGCACAACAATGCTCTGGTGAAACACCCACAATGCGTTTCGTGGGGTAAAAATTGAATTCTCTCTGACCTCCGGAGTAGCAGAAGAATTGAGCGTGATGCAGCGTCTTGATTTAATGGAATAAAAGGGTAAAGAAACGTCAGGTTGAGTCTTGATTTATATCTTCGTAGTCATCATGTGGTACACGGCCACCCCTGCCAGGATCTTGCTCATTTTCATGGGGGAGAGGGGGGGAATTTGCTGCATGTTCTGGGATAGTCTCCTCCCTCTATTCTATATGGCTGCCCACTCGCCTTCATCTCTTTCCCTCCCCTCATCATCCTGCCTCCTCAATGCTGCAGTCTTTGCTGTAAGAGGGTCGTCAAAGGCTCCTGTCCATTCATTGGGATGTGAAAGGTCCCCATTGCTTGACATTTTTCCGGCAGTGACTGTGCAAGAGAGAAACGATTCATTATCGGCCAAGTGGGTCAAGGAGCAGTTCTTCAGCTTTGAAAGGGGTTAAAGCATAGTGTAATTGATACATTAGGTTGTTTCATCATTAATGTATCCATTTGTTAACCTAGAGCTGTGCATAATACTGTCACCTAATGGGGCTATGTATAAATAATTAGTAGTGTCGCTGCGTGGTCAGGATTGTTTATCTGGGCTTATCTAATGAGGGTGATAGTGATGTGCTTTTTGTAGAACCAATACCATTGTATAGGTTTATACCTTTCAGGAGTAGTTGGAACACTGACAGATGTTTGATGGCAGATTGCTGCATCTTGCACATAGTTCTTGAGCTCACACACGTTACAATCCAATTGTTCAATGCTCCTTCACACCAGCAACAATGTACGGCCACTGGTGTGCGCTGGGAGGCCCAGCAGGTGCTGGGATTTTTTTTCTTTATTTATTAGAACCTAATTGAAATTAAGTGATAATTCATTTGGTTCTTCTACTCACATCAGTTGCTTTCCAATGTGGTGGTTTTCTTGCAGCATGCTGTGCTGAAAAAAAGTACTGCTATTACTGCTTTTTTCTGTGCACACCAACGTAACATAGTGGTATGAGGTGACTTAATGTCTTTGCGTTGGG